AACTTCTTTCCTTGCTCTCTATATGGTCATTTAATTGCCCATGCAGTCGTGAACAGGCTCGTGGTGTTTGCTTTTCAGCACAAGCTTGGCTCCGGCTTCATCTGGATTCAGCAAGGAATCACCCACCTCAGTCATCAGCTGTCTAGGACAGGAGTAGCAAACACACACACACACACACACACACACATACACACACACACAAAGTGCAGTGCATTCACGGTTACCAAAAACACTCATCATTTGGCTCTTGAGCCCTGTCGTTGCCATGCTTCGCTTGTTGCCCTGGATACAAAGAAACTGTCGAAAACAGCCACTGGGTTGGGTTGTAGTATACAATTCAATGTGTCTGGAGTGTGCAGTGTTTTTGTGGGAGAGTGAGGGATCAGGACAGAGGGGAAAAAAGAAAAAAGAAGAAAGAGAGAAAGAGAAGAAAGAGAGAGAAAGCAAGAGAGAGAGAGAGAGAGAGAGAGAGAGAGAGAGAGAGAGAGAGAGAGATTGTATTCATGGTCAGTCCACCATAGCCAGCATGCCAACTTCACATGTCAGCAGAGATTAGAAGCCTTTTCACACAGAAAGCCTTGGGACAGAAGTGGGGTTTAAACACAAGCCAGGCAGGGAACACTTTCAGCTTTCAACACTTTCTCCTTAAAGAATAAGCTGCCATTTGCTTCAGACGGACTGTACGTTGCTTCTGAGAGAATACTGAAGTGACAACATTAACTAAAAAAAAAAACATGTAAATGGATTGGATTGGACATCAGCCACTACAGTAATCGCAGCTAAATCCAACAGTGCCAGCTCTGACAGCAATCTCAAACTGCTCCGTTTGGATCAGGGATATAAACGATTAACTGATTAACCGATTAACCATTAACTGACAAGTAAACAATTGTGTGTCCAATGCTATTGGTTAAAAATCGTTAATTTAATTTAATTTCCTAAATACAACAGTTAGAAAAGACAGGTTTATTATTCAAGCTGAGCAGCGCATAAGGGCACAATATGCAAATGGTTCCACAAATAAGGCCTATTAAAAAAAATGAAGCATTGCAGTTAAACACAGAGGTGTGCAGGACCACTTTTCGAGAGAACAACAGCACAACTACAAAGATGTACCAAAATTGCACTCAAGGACGTGGTGAAGATTTTCGAGAGCTACTAAGGTACAATGAACCAGAGCTAGTCCCGTTTCTAGCATTTATGTTCATTTTAACGTAGGCTAGTAATGAGGGCTAAATAGACTCAAATAAATTTAGAACTTTAAAATCTAAAACTTTCAGTAGCCCATAAAAATATCCCGCTCATTTTGTTAACTTTTTAGAAGCTGGTCATATAACCATGAACACAACCAGGGTCTTATGTAGGGTATGTTTAATAAGGTTTTAGGACATTTACTTCATATGCCTGCCCCTCACCTTTCAGTTCTACATTTCATATTCCATAAAGGGAACATTTTTAATATCTTAAAAAAATTAAAATAGAATTCAATTGATGTGTGCGCTAATAACCGCTTGTGAATTAAGTATTTTACATCAGCTTTGAACATGGCTCAGTCAATCTATGCTGGTAGCCACTAGCAAAGAGACATTTACTAAAACTTGTATCCCTAATTTGGATTATTGTGTAAACTGTCAATGCTGAATAATACTGTGCAGGAGAAGCTCTGACCATTTTTGTGACATTCACCCCTAAAAAAACAGACTATGGGAAAATGCAGATCAAGGAAAAGAACTGGCCAAAACAAAGCTCAGACCACCCCAGATGTTTTTGACATCACCAAAAAGGGTACACAGACACACACACACGCACATTTTTTTCTTAAAGAATGGTAATAGCTGCACCATTACTGTATTCTTACCAAATGCAAGGCTAAATCTTAAAAAGACTTGAGTTAATGTAATTCCTTCTGGCTCCTGCAGCCTTACTCAGATCTATCCTAACTCGCCCTGGCAGCTGCAGAGGTTTGGTCAGGGAGGTTACGAGGAGATTATCGTTTTAATCTACAAAACATTTTTTAATCTGTGCTAGAAAAATCACAGAGCTCTGTGAGTCACCAGCAGTCACTGTGCTGTCGGCAGTACGGCAGAGACGTCCACACAAACTACAGAGAGTTTTAAACAGCAATTTACAGTTTATAAATCCCATTTGCGATACACAGTTATAGTAACTACTAGGTAAAGCCTTCACAGCTGCTTTCGGCTTCTATACTCATTATTCTTTCAGGACCTATTGAATCAAGTCCATTTTTATGGTTTAAACTTTAAAGATTTTAAGTTTCCTTTCACAACATAACTTACATCTAGGTATGATATAACTGTACAGATGAGTATCAGAAGAAAATGCTGGATCGGATATTGGAGGGGGGAAAAATTAAATCCAGTCTAATCCTGCAACAAATCTAGTCTAAAAAGCACACACTCACATTCTGCAATATGATGTTTTTAGTATCTCTTTATGTGGAGTAGTAGTGTTTATGTAGTTTGAGTATGATAGTCTACTTGTAGATGCTCATCTTAAGTGAAGTGCTTCAGTCAAATTTGGTAGTTTTTAAAGAAAATCAGTATTGGTCAAAGGAAAAAAGAAAGTGGTATTATGGTTATGGTTCCATTTCTTGTTTAGACACCATAAAAAACGACATACTCCTGCCGACATCTCTAAGATATTGATGAAATTAGTTACTTTGGCCCTAGTTTCGTTAATTTTTTTTTCTGATATATCTGTTTGTCTCACATATTTACTGCTATAAGCACTTTACTTCAATACGCAGTAATAAAAAAATGTGCTATAGTCTTGCAGACAGCACAGGGGATACCATATCAGCCAACCAATGTATCAGCTGTGCTCTAGTTCAATGAATTCTAGAGAAGCAACACAGTCACTCTGACCATTTCCTTCAGCTGTACAGCAAACCAAGGGCCAGTGTCATCATTCTGGTGTTTGAAACCACAGAGTAAGCCTTTGAGAAACAGGATGCAACACATGCTACCATCAAACAACAAAATGCAGTTATCATATTGATAACAATAAACTCCTGATATTTTACACTTTACACAGAGTTTGTGCACTATTCTTCCAACGCTTGCTGTGGCTCTGTCAAGGCTTTTACGCAAGAAAAGATACTCATATCCTTACAGTCACTGCTGTTAACACTAATGCTTAGTGACATGCCTGACTGATTCAATTAACACAGACATACTCTACTTGACCACATCAGACCATTAAGCATTAACACAACATACTATGTTAACATTATTAACCTAATATGCAGACTAAAGTTGTAATTAAAGCTAAACGAATAGGCAACACGTGTTCTTTTAAGCTACTGTCCTCTCAGCATTGACAGCAAGAACAGTAATAGCAGTGTATGTTTGCCTGAGACTAAAAAATCAGCAAAGTGTAGCCTGGTTTAGGTCAGAAATACGTGGACATACACTGCCGTTGACTGACAAGAGCCTGCTGCTTACAGTGATCACATTGTTCAAATCTTTTTTTTGCTTTCTCCTCTCCCTCTTTCCCCACTCACACACTCTCTTTTTCTGTTTCTGAGGCCTCTAAGGAAATCCGATGCAACGCAAGCTCTACACATTACATAATTGTTCATTCAGCTGGAGACTGATACAGTGGGGTACAGCGTGCAGCGAGTTATACGAGAGAGAAAGCGAGAGCAAGAGACACACAGAGTCACTCTTGCTCACTCACAAACTTGCTTTCAAATTTGGGTTACGGTGGCTTCCTCGCTCTTTTCCTTCACATGCATGCTCACAGCCACACTGAGCTATGCCAGCTCTGCTTGGGCCACATTAACATGGCAATCATCTACTCAGCTTAAATGCCCTCATGGTTTTGTTTTGCTGTCTTGCTATGCTCACTTGTGTTCCTTCTAATGTGATCCCTGCCCTCACTCTATCTGAGTGCTGCCTAATAAACCAGGATACAATATTAGAGGTCTAAGTCCAAGTCAATATCCAAGTAATAAGGGAGACATGAACATACACTGATGATGATGACAGCCTACAGCTAAAAACTTCACTCAGAATGCTCCTCCTGATTAGTTATGATAATGTAGGATAGGCCTGTGTGTCAACATGGAGCGAGTCATTCATTTCGGAACACGAGATACAGTATGAATGACGAAATCACCACATGGCTATTGCTAAACTGATGTTTCACACAAACAGTATGTAGGATGGTGGACAATCCAGCTGATGAAATTCCCCTACAATAAATCATATGGCTCTGAATTTGAATATCACCAGTTTTGTTTCAGTTTGTGATTTAAGCAGTGTACTACTGTACTGCTATTCAGAAAGTACAGTAAGAAATACCACACTTACTAACAGCAGACATCATGTGACGTTAAAGGGGGGCAATATGGCAATACTTTTCGTTCCTGTAATAAGTTGTCACAATATGTCATCGTGGATGTCAGCAGTTAAACTCTGACCGAATGCAAAGACAGCATAATTAGACCCGTTTAACTGCATTTAGTGTACTTCAGTGAAACAGTGAATAAAAATGATCACCTTAATGTGGCACGACTGGTTCTTCTTTCATCTGTTCCAACTTGTCAAACCTCAGATAAACTAAACATCATGACGCATATGGTGTATCATGAAAACATTCTCAAGTATCGTGTTTATTACTGCCAGATCACCCACCCCTATGTGAACTGCCTCTTTGGTAGCCAAATTAAATAATGCAAACTAGTACTTAGATTTACACCTACTTATTCAGTACTCTATTCATCTTTAAATCACTTTTCCTTTTCCTTTTACTTAAAACAAGCCTCTTTTCAGAAAGATTTTACACTGTGGGTTTCAGTAATGAAAAAAACATGAACATACATACTGAGAACAGGCACAGAGATGTAACCACGTTTCTCCAAATTTAGAGCAGGGCAGTAGATTAACCCGTTTACATTTACCGCCGCATTCACCACATAGTGTAGCTAACAAAGATGAGATTCAGCCAAGATTTCTTAGAAAATGGACAACGCTTACCTGCACATGTCAGCGAAGGCCAAAAAATTGAGTTTCTTCATTTTCTTCTCGCTGAGCCAGTAGCCCACGCGTCTACCTCTCAGAAACGTCTGCATCTTCTCCTGTCAGCAGCCAGCCGAACCTCCCAGATGTGACAGACTCGACCTAGCTAGCTCTCCAGCGATAACAGGAAACCGTTTTCTTACCCAACCCTGCCAAGTCAAGTCGAGACAGAGCCAATCAGCCAACATGTCAGACATGCACGTTAGCGCGTTAACCGCCATTTAATCTTACAGTAATCACAAAGCCGACTGTCGCCGATATGATCTGGATCTCAATCACTGCAGGGCAAAGTCATGATGCTCAAGTTAAGACTGCTAACCCAACGGTACTAGCTAGACTAGGTAGCTTAGCTAACTGTGAGGAAGAAATGTAGCTTATGTTAGACTGATAATGATGCTAACTATCGACTGTTGGCTAGTTAAACAGGTTTTTCAAACGTCGGTTCAAAACAACAACTCGATTTTCTTGTCTGTTTTACCATGAACCCATTAGAAGAGAGAAACAAACAGCTAGCAGCAACAGCAGCACAGTTACTACGGACTTCTTGGTCAGCTCGGTTTCCAAGACGTGAACCCAAGGCGTGCAGGGTAGATATTATGAGCTACATAAAGATACCGCAGATACGTTTCACATGTCTTCAACGCTGCTGGCCCACATTTGGACATTTGAGGCGGAAATCAACAAAAAAACACTTGTTCAGTTGGCTACCTACCTAGCTAGCTAACACATCTTCCATTCCGTCGGATATCAACTGCCTTGCAGGTTAACGTTAGCTAGTTAGCTTGCTCGTGGTCTCTCCGTTCTCCATGATCTTCCTCGGAGGAGCTCGTTAACGGACGTGCTGAGAGGAAAACCGAACACTATAACTTCGCTGTATACAGTCCGATCAGGCTGAAACTGCTAACTGGACACCCACACGGATCACACCCTCTTGACGTAAGGCTGGTTTCATTCAAGTCAGGCTGCCAGCGCTTTCTTTCCAGCCGTGACTTACGACAGCGGACTGTTCTAGCAGCTCACACGGCACCATTGCCGCTTGGTGGTGAATACAGGCATTTTTCTCTTTTGTATTTTTGTACATGTCCTGTAGGTGGCGCCTGTGTACCATACTAACAGCCTATTCCTCAGATCTTTCGAGTCCCAGAAGTCAACACCATTAATAAACAATTCGAGTGAGTAAAACGTTTGTTGTTGTTTTTTTTTAAATATAATTTAATTTATTATATTAAATATAAAATATAATATAATTGCAAAGCAAGTAGAAAAAAATAAGGAAAGAGTTATACCACCGATTTCCCAAACCTTTTGTATTGGTTACCAAAATACCTAAAAAAATACAGCTTTAAAAGGACCATAAGGACCTAAGTTATGTTAAAATAAAAAATGTTCTCTCGTTGGGTGAGGTTACGGTAACTTTCTGGCGAGCAAACTTTAAAGAGGATAAAAATATTCATGCTAAGCCACTTGTCAGTGAAAATTCTGATTTATGTAGTTTTATTTGTAACGTTACAAATAAAACTACATATCAGAATTACATATAATTTATGTAGAAATGTAAACCATTTCTGTTTTAGAGGTTCCATCGCCTCTGAAAATGTTAATTAAATAACCATTCACAGTGGTATATACAGTCCATTTAGAGCCAGATATAGACATATTTTTTACTAGTATAACTGAAATAGTGTTGGACATTCCATTAAAACATTCCATCTGTGAAACCAGTTTTTAATCAATCGCTCCTGGTTCAAGCCCTCTTGAGCACTCCCATATAAATACTGAGAAGACCAGTGATTTAAGCCAGCAGACAGATGTTTATAGTTTACATTTTTGCCCATCTGACATTTCACTGAAGCTCAGGGGATACACTTTTTTGCAAAGTAAAAAATATTTTTTTCCACACAGTCCAGATGCGAAAGACAACAATTCAGCAAATACATACTGTACAACATAAAAAATATAACTTCATAATTTCTGGAACTATCTGTACAACTGTTTAAAAATGTATTTACAGACATTTAATGCATTTTCTGAAAGATTTTACATTGGATGAGGAAAGGAAGTGCTTTTGGCTGCTTTTCACTGTATCATTCAAACACAGTGTGGTCCCTCTTTTCTGTCTGATTTCTGTTCAGCGTCGTGCTGCCGGGCTGGCCAAAAGGCTCAGGATGGATGAAAGGCAATGGAGCTTCTCTTTCACCAGCTCTGGTAACTTCTCATTCTCCTTATATCTAAGACAAAAAAGACAATGTCAGAATCGGCAATGCATAAATATCATAAAACAGTTTACTCTTCATTCATTCTTTTTTACTAATGCGCTTTACCTGGTGATGTGTCCATCAGGGGATGTGAATATGATGCAGGAGACCCCTGCCTGAACCACCAGCTGGGACCCATCATTAAACTGAACCCAAACTTCTCCACTTGTTAGCTAAAATACAAATAACATTACATCTATAATGGTCTATAATGCTTCAAATGATCTAGCAAAGCACAGTTAATTAAATTAACTTGACATGTTACAAATACATCACTACACAATGTTATTGCATAAAATGAGTAATGTTCCAAAAAAGGTGTGTTGTGTACATCATTCCACATGTTATTTTATTCCAATACATGCCATTTCTACATGAACACTGCTCAGTTTTTACCTGAGAGGCCCAGCCAATGTTGGGTACAAAGATGGACTTGAGCACTTTTCCTGTGTTGACACTATGCCCCTCTTTGGCCGACTGGGGTGAGCTGCCTTTAGCTAAACTCGCTGTCGTAAAATCAGACCCATTGTAGGAAATCATCTACAGTTAAGTGAACAAAAGAAAGTACATTACACCATCTGGCATATCTCAAGTTATACAAATGAAGTACACAATGTGAGCTTGAACAAAACACAATGTACTTCAGAGTGGTCCCTTTAATTTATGTCATCAGGCTATCCACTGTAGACATATTTTAACTTAAATGGTACTGTCAGACAACCTCACATCAGTATAATGGCATTGTTTACTCATAATCACAATGCAAAGGCATTATATAATAAAAGCTTTGACAAAGGTGTCTCACTTACAGAAGGGGTGATGTGGGGAGGCTGAGGAGGACTCAGGCACACCTGAGCTACCTCAGCAGGGACTGTAGGACCCTGATCAGAGGCAGGCTGGGTCAAGGGGAATGGTGAAGCAGGAGTAGTTGGTCTCCTGACAGATATAAAGGAAACACTACAATCATGCAAGTGAGACTGATTCAGCAGAGGAGACATTTTAGTACAGAAGAGAGAAGAGCCTCAGTTTATTTATGTAAATAAATTAGACTATAAGTTGTATGAGTTTCTGAAATTTTGCAGCAAAAAGAGCCCCAGTCTGACCTGCCAATAGTGATGGGGAAGAATGGTGTAGCTCTAGCACTGCGCTGCTCCTCAGCACTGATGGCAGCCTCCAAAGACAGACACATTTTGTGCCCCTGAAAGTAATAAATACACACAAACATACTTAATGGATTTACTTTATGTAGCTACCTCAGATATGTCCATTAGGAACAATGTTGTAATAAGAGACAATGTTGTAATAAAGGACAAATGAGCTGTCCATGGAAAAAAACGCTCAGAACTACTGCCAATAGTACAACCACTAGCATAAGGAAAACACTGTAGCCAGCTTATCACAGATTAGTTTATTTATAAATAAAGAATAAACAAGTGCAATGTGTAACAAATTTATGATCATGTGAATAAATAATCAGCATTACCTCTTCTGTAAGCTCCATGTAGAGCCTGCACTCAGGGCTCACGCCACTCAGGCCTACATCCCCCTTCACTGTGTACGACTTGCCACTCTTCTCCACCACCCGCACCTGATCACTCGTCTTATGGGTTTTTGCACCTAAACGAGGAGGGCAAATGAAGAGCACTACATTATTTGACATCAAATTAAGGAATGGTCTATACTCAATTATCATATTGAGACAACAAAAATTGTACTTTTGAGTAAAATCAATATTTAAAGCTACACTATGTAAGATCAGTTAATCTGGAAACATGCTGAAGAACATTTTGTAACGTGGGTTGTGCTTCAGATCCCTTCCCCAAGTGCACAAAATCGATAATTGAATACTCATACAATGTGCACTCAAAGAGAATTCAGTCAAAACTTCATAAACAACACACTGTGTCCAAGATACAAGTTGAATTATCTGCTATCGTTATCATAGCTTCATCAGTAAAATGCTGATTTTGCATTTGAGACCTAAGCATCAAGTGGGACCTTCCTTCTGAGCCTGTACATGTAATGTTCATACGTAAAGACATATGATGTGGTCGGAAAAACCCAGGTGAAATGTAACCAGACACCTCTGATTCTTAAATTAGTATTTCAGTGTGACTCGCAGCAGCGCAAGGACACCATGTTTTAGCATGTTTTTTTCTTCCTGATTCAATAATGCTACTTCTTTAGATTTTAACAAAAAAAATCTTAAATAGGGCAAGTTTAAAAACAAAAAAGGTGTGGTACCCACCATCATAGAAGCACACTTCCAGATCTGCATTAGGTGAGTTCTCCATCAACATGCACTTGGCAAACTTGGTATACAAGGTTACTTTAGGAGTCTTTGACTTCACCAACTGAACAAACTTGGTGGCGTACTGATACTTTTTCCAATATTTCTCTAAAAAAAAAATTTGAGCATATAAATAATTTTCCTGTTAATGAGGGCAAATAACAACTAAATTGACAAAGCCAAACATAACTGTAAATTTCATTCCAATTTCAGAATCTTCTTTAAGTCATGCAATGTTACCTGGTAAGTCTTCATAACTGCATATAAAAATATCTTCTGGAGGAGAAGGCGGATGGTCCAGGACAGGGAAACCTTTACCTTCATTGGGCTGGTACACAGTGACCTGAATGAACAAGTCAATCAGTTGTATTTAATTCTTCACAACTTTGTTTAATTAATGACACTTTTCACTGAGTAAATGATTGAATAAATGACTCAGCACACAAACTATTCTCTTACCATGGAGCCATTGCAAGATATCCTCAGTACTTCTTTGACCCTCTCCTGAGCTCCCTGGCCTTTCAGAAGCTCCATACACACCTCTCCTGTGTCTAGGATGCTAACCTGAAAAGAAAATGTATCAGGATATTATGCACAACCAACAAATACTTCTTGGTCTTGTACTTATTACATCATTCTTGGATATTTCGTAATGGCAAAGAATTCTAAGGAGCGATTAGCCTTATGCACTCACCACAGCATTTTTGGTTTTCTGTCTGATAGGTTTCAGTCTGGCTGCACAGAGAGGAGGAAATGGACTCTTTTTCTGCTTCCCCACATTAGCTTTACTCTTGGACAGGGAAGACAACTGCATATCTAAACAGCCTTGAGGAGCCAAGAAGTGGCCCCCTCCGGGCCCATCCACCCTGCAGGTCCCTGGATTGTTTTGCAAGGAAGAATGAACGTATGGGTGAGGGGGGAGTTCACTAATTCCTCTCACTGTTGGTCTGTCACTGCAGGATGATACAGCCCCCACTGCCTCCCGCCCAGAATAAAAACTTCCACTGCTGCTGTGGCTGCTGACATCTGCTGGTCTCTTGAAAGACCCTTACAGTTAAAAACAAGATTGGAATTAGTCTTGCCATAATGATTCTTTTCAACGAAAGGAAGTGTCAATATTAGTCTTGTTTTAAAAATATTAAAAAATCCCATTAAACATAATTAAAATACCATCAGTGCTGAACCACGGCTGTGTCTCGGAGTCTGACTTCTGTAGTCTGATGGGATGCACTGGAGTGGTGAAGGAGGATCCAGGGCTGACGGAAAAGAGTAAGAACTGATTAATGAGAACTAATATGTGATTACCAAGAACTGATTGGAAGTGATATATCCAATACTATCCAAACGACTACAGGTCCAAAGTGTAGCATTTATCGTTCATTGTATCTTTGAATAAACAGGATTATATCTTTCAATAAATAGAACATGACAAAACAGGTTATAGATGAGTAACAATCACCATCAATTAGCACAATATAGTTGCATGAAAAATCAACAAAACATGATTCAACCAGAGGCGCCCAAACGTCTGCATATGACTGTATATTATTGGAAACTTCAGCATTTAGTTGTTTGAACTATTCTTTTTACTGTCAACATATGGTTTACAATAGGGATGCACAATGATACTGGAATTATAACGGTATTGGCTGATAATTGCTTTTAAAAAATACTGACAATAAAACAGATTTAGATTTGACCAATATTTCAAACTGACATTTGACGACAAATTTATTGTACCCTGTAATAGCAAAATGTTTAGGTGGTGCTGACCAACTGTGCTAAACTACCTGTATTTTATTCGTTTTATTACATTTATTACACTTTATTGTAACCCTCTACAAAAAAGTAGCCAAGTTCTCTGCAATAATCCAGTCCCAATTTCTATACTATTTTCATGTATTGGAATTGGCAGATATGTGCAAGAAACATTCAATATCAACACTGGCCCAGAATTCCCACATTGGTGCATCCCTAGTTTACAATGTATTGACTTAAAGTTTCTAAATTACTGACTTCATACAATGCCATCTTTTAGTTAAAACAAGTGCAACAAAACATTTCATACCCTTTTACTTAGAGGATTCCATTCCATATTGAAATAATCATACAGTCAGCAAAATAGGCAACATCAAAACAATTAAATTAAACTAAATGTTTTCATGTACTTTACTAATGCTAAAGCCTCTTACTTTGCCGGCTGTTTGACAGGAGGGGAGGGTAGTCTTCCATGTTCAGTGTAGCCATGAGAAGTGTCCTGGTAATTAGACGTTGATTGGAAAATCCGGCCAGAGCCTGGAAGCATCTCCTCTGAGTGGCACCGCTCCAGCTCCACCTCTTGTCTGGCATGGCTAAACCCAGCACCGGACCGATCAGAGGAGTGAGCCCGTCTCAGGTAGCGGGAATGAGGCCTTTCACTGTCCACATCCACAGGAAGCCTCATATTACCTGGTGGATGTGGCTGCCAGTCTTGCCCTCCCTTATAGCTGGAGCAGGTGGAGTGCTGTGACTGGCTGGGGAGTGGCACCATGCGGTTTGGTAAGGCCTGGCCAATCACCTGCCGAGCTTTTCTCTGGAGCCGGCTACCACTGTTGTTAGTGGCATTGGATGCAGTAGATATTGTTGCTATGCCACTATCTATAGAGCCGCCATCGCTAGCTCCAGAGTCTTTGCTTGTGGTTGGTCCACTATGAGTCATAAAAGGGTGGTCCAGCACCGCTGAGAGGCTGGGCCTGAGAGTTGGATCCTTCTGCAACAGTTGACGAATGAGATCCTGAGCTTCAGCCGACACGTGAGTGGGCATCTGGTACTCTCCCAAAACCACTTTGCTGAGAGTGTGTTTGACAGTGTCCGTGTCGAAGGGAGGCCTGCCCGTCAGGAAGGCGTAGAACATGCAGCCCAGGGACCAGACGTCCGACTCCAGGCCATGAGCGCTGCGTGTGGCCACCTCAGGAGAGATGTAGTTGGGTGTGCCACACATGGTGAAGTGCTTCTCGCTAGGCAGCTTGAGCTGCGTGGCGAGACCAAAGTCTGCTATCTTTATGTTCATGCTGGTGGTGAGCAGCAGGTTGGACAAGGTGAGGTCTCTGTGCATAATGCCATGGGTGTGCAGGTACAGCATGCCCTTCACAATCTGGTGCATGAAATGTCTCACTGTTGCAAGAGAGTCAGAAATTACTATACTCAAAAAAGACAAATCATAGAAATATAATTGAGAAGATATTCAAAATGAAAAAAACATTAAAATCACAGATAAGACAAAACTCACCTTCTTCTTCTGTGAAAGGTTTCTTCCTGTCTTTCAGATAACGGCTCATCTCCCCATTATGGCACATCTCCAGGACCAGGTACACATAATTACTGTCCTCAAAGTAATTGTACAGCTGTAACCAAGGAAAACAAAAGGGTGGGGAGGATCAACAGATGGTTACCAAAATGCAATAACGAGCCTGTTAGAGCTGAGAAGCTATAAAAGTTGAGGCAAACTCAACTTTTACCAATCCAAATAATTTCATGGCATTCACAGTTTTCATAGCATTCACATTTTTATCTCTGACCAGTCATTAATATCTACATTTGTTATTTCTGAAGATCAATTACATTACATGTACATTTGTTATTTCTGAAAATCAGGTAAGCACAGCTCAACAGCTTAACCTAAGGAAATCCCTGAGGGCAACTGTAACTCACCTCCAGTATTGACGGATGTTTTAACCGACACTGGATCTCCACCTCATTAATGACACGTTGGACCATGCCAGCTTTGTGCATGGCCTTCTTATCAATCTGCACAGATACAAACCACATAATTACTGAGAACAGATGCCACACACAACCACAGCACCAAGGCAGAACACCCATCTGTTCCAACACAAAAACACCAAAATGAAACGCAGAGGGGACAGTCTTACCATTTTGATGGCCACCTCCAAGCCTGTGTTCACTGATTTTGCTCTGTAAACGCATGCGAAGGATCCCTTACCAAGTAAGGTGAGAACTTTGAAGTCCTGAAAACAAGGAAACATCACTATGGGCAGCCAGATTCATTAAGTGCATTCAGAGCATCCATAACATCCCAATGCAAAATCCGTTCTCTTCATTCAGCCCCAAATAATGAGATTTTTACTACCTCGATTTTAAGATCTTCTGAAGTCCTCAGAATTTTACCATCTACTGCACATGTCCCGTTTTTTGTTAAGTTTTGAATTAAAGACTGAATAACGTCAAACATCTTTTCTGAAGTCGAATCTCTCGCCGCCACCTGTTACCGATGTGACCGCTGCTCAGCTCGGCTCCCGTGTGCATCTCGAGCCGAGGCGTCCTTGGTTACCCGCAGCTGACAGCGACACTGGGCGAAGCAGCAGACGCGCGTTTCTACCCGCTAATTCACTACAATTGGACGCCTTCGCTGTCTCCTAGCAACCGCACAAATCCCAAATCTCAAAACACAAATCGCCAGGCTACAGTCTCCAGAGACAGAAACAACGGTTAGAAAACTGCACTCTTTATTTACGGTCTTCGGTCTGCTGCGAAGTCAGTCGGCAGCCATCGATTTAACTCGGACACGCCAGTGAGTTAAAGCGTCTTGTTCGAATTTCTCCGTTCCACCTTAAATGGTGCCAGAATGTAACTACTGCACCATTTAAGGTGGAACGGCGAAATTCGAACAAGAAACTGGAAAACAGGAGGCCGACCTCAGCTTCGTCTATCAACTTTCAGTGGGCTAGCATGCCAGTTAGTTAGCTAGCTAGGTTAGCTAGCCAGACGAGTAACCAATCTTATCGCTTGACGCCGCGGCTGGTTGAAAGACTGGAGTCAGTAAACACAGGACATTAGCGGTAAACAAACGGACCATCTAACCGCACTAACTACCAGCCTGAGTGCGTTTTAAACGGTGAGTAATCCAGCAACGGCTAGTTTAGTTGCCTAAAGCTAACTAAATTGCCCCCGCAACTTCACTTACCTCAATTTTATCGCCAATTGAGACACTCATCTTGACTTCATAGCCTAAAGAGTCGTTCAGCGTGCTAAAATCTTTCGTTTTATTTCGCGAACCGTGGTTCTTCGCTGACTGTCATGTTTGAAAATACATTTATGTGTTGTACTTTTGTTCCCCTCCAAAACATTTGCTTTTCCTCCATTTTGAAAAGTCCGCCCGTTAGATTTGTGGTGACGCGAGTCAACGTCATCATGTCAACTACCAATAGAGAGTTTGGAAGAACACAACACGGAAGGACTCCAGCTGAAATTGTAATAAAAGTCCTTAAGCGTTGTAGATTTTGAGCCGTCTACTCCTAGAATAAGGCACACGCCTATCTGAAAAATAATACCAACCTTTTATCACAGTTTACGACCTGATCACGATATTGTATTAAGATGTATGAGATAAAAGATGATCTCAATGTCATTTTGCAATATCAATAATGTGTTGCTGTCTTTGAAAAAAAAAAACTAATGGCTCTTCATACAATGGCACAATATTTCTTCATGTGTTCATTAATGTCTAGATTTTTTTCTTGACATTCTTAACAGGCATCATGTCTTCGATTCTTTTTTTTTTTTTAATGTTTTCAGTCTGGGTGGTAGTCCCTTGTTACTCTAGGAAGCAAGTAATTTTTTTAATGTCAACACATTTGATCATGAAGTTGCTTTTATTAGATGCCATTGCCAAATGTCATCACTTGATATGGAGAAATGCATGAAAGGTAAAAGGAGATAAACAGCTCATTATATTCTATTTTTAAATGACAATATGGAGCTGGAAGCATCACGATTTCAACACTAGGACTGTACCCTTATATACACACCTATTGACTGATAAATTCAAATTACTAAAATAATATTTACAGGTCCTAGTCAACACACATCCTTTTGAAATTCATGTATTAAATACAAATATATACTGTATATATTATATATATGTATCATTGCATACATATTTGCTCATGTTGCCTCAACCTTAACGATTGATCAAGCATTAATTTATTCATGTTCTCAGAACAGGCTAATGTGCAATACAATTCACCTCTTGAGAGAACTAGCGCTTTGGATTGCTCAGAATGCAGTTATCACATTGTCTTAGGAATAGTACGATTTGTTGAAAGTGGCAGCATTGTTTCCACTTTTAAGCTACAACTAATTTATATGATACTATCATGGATGTCTAACCCTGCACCTACTTCCACACATAGCTGTAACATTCAAAGGATAGCCTGACTCCAAACTGTCAAGTACAATAGAAAACTGATAGGAGAGCAGACTTAAACAAACAGATGTGCGAATACAGCCAACTGAGCTGTGGACACAGAGAGAATGGTACTGGCTACAGGTTCAGAGTCAGTTGTGAGGGTCTGATGGTGGCGTCAGTGAGAATGACAGGAAGGCTGGATAGGCAGATGTTCAGTCCACCTCCATTTCTCCAGGGTTTTTTGTCTGTTGGCTGCCCTTGCCATCTGCCCCTTGTCCTGCTGCAGGGCCATTGTGAGCCGCGTTGTCCTCTGCTGGCTCTTCAGCTTTCGGTTTGGGTCGGTTCACCACAGGATTGCAAACCTCCTCTAGCTCCTGAAAATGACACAGGAACATATAGTCTTTACTAAAGCATACAGGCTGTCACTGTCAATTATATCAGTAATTGAGTCATTTGAAAGAAAAAAGAAAGACCGGCCTGTGCAAAGTCTTTATGGAGGGCAGGAGCTCAAGAGTAAAAAAGGCAACCTGAACGTAAATTTAACTTAAATTAATCAACAGCATATACAGTCATATGCAAAGGTTTGGGCACTCCTGGTCAAATTATATGTTTTGTTCAGGAAAATAAGTACACATCCTCCACAGAGAACACACCTCTGCACATTTCATTACATGGTTACTGTTTATAAGGTGAACTGAACATGCTGTGGAAAAAAAACTAGAAATTAAGCACTAATATTTGCAGAACAATTGGCAATTTAAGTTCTCTGTACAGGATGTGTTAACTTATTTTCACTTTGAAAGCCAACAAATATGTAATTTGACCAGAGAGTGTTAAAACATTTGCATAAGGCTGTAGCAGACACTCTTATCAAGAGAGAGAATATAATCATGTTTCACAGGAAAGCAAATGTTTTCTCAAAGCAGGCTAAATTTGTAGCTCTGCTACTTAAACAGGTATTGAACGCCAGTCTCCATCATACAAGGCTGTAACGTTACACATTATGCGATCTAATTATTATTGAGAGCTCCACAGAATAAATCTGTTTTCTTTACAGTAACACAAACTTGGTCTAGCGAGCTTTCAGCACCCCTTACTGCCGACCTTACGTTTGGATTGTGAACCAGAAAACGCCACTTTTAAAAGACATTATCAGTGTTATTTGGCATGATTTCCAGCACTGTGGTGAGGAGTGCATCTGTGATAGGCTGGAGTTAAGAGAGGTGAAATCTCCACAAGAGGTCAGTACTGCACCAGAGGGATCTTAAAGAACGATCATATAAAAGACAATTATTATTATAAACGCTGACCAAGGGGGCACTTTTACAGTCTGAGGGTGGAAATGCAGAGGCTCAAGCCCCCACTAGAGTCTATCTGTGCAAGTGCCTGCAGGAGGAAAATTTGAAATGGGTTATGAAATAATTGAAGTTTGGGAGGAGGACCATGCCTGAATCTTGTCCTCCTTCCAATCTAATGCCCTATAAATTTCACTCTCTACCTTCCATTTCCTGTAATGAAGTTGTTGCAGCTCTTCACCTCCAAATCTCCTCCCTATTCCTCAGTACTATCTCTCTGTCCTACCTCTGTTCATGTAGAGGGGGTGGGGTGGGGTGTGGGTAGCTCTTAAAGTAGATGTCAACCAGCACTCCAGCCCAAGTTCTCAGATTCTCACCCCTCCTTCAGTCATCATTGAAGGTAAATTTTAGTTGGCTATTTAAAACCAAGACCTAGTAAACAAAACTGCATTTTCCTTGCCAGCTCACATATACATTACTTGTCCTTGCATCTACCATCCAAGAAACTGTGAAATGTGAAGTCTCTGCCATTTTGGAGCATTTAATTTTTACAGAAAGCATGTGATTCTGTGTCACATCGAACAAACCTGCCCTACTCAAACAAACACACCCACTCACACACCCTTCACACTATCACCAACTCTCAGCCGTTTGACATACACAAATGTCTTTGATGGACAGGACAGTGGAAAACAGCAATGTATAATGTCACATATTACAAACATTAAACTTCTGTATTCATCTTCTTCGTGGATGTTACCAGACTTGCTGTTGACAAACTGGAATATATTCTGTCCTCACTAGAGGAAGCTGGGCATTTAGCTAAGCTAACAGGCTCCAACAATATTCAGCGACAGACTTTAGGTATAAATCTTTACTGAAGGAGCCAACATCCAAAGTAAAGAATGTGTTACTTAAGTGTCTTTTAAGAACTTAAAACATGTGAATATAATCTAGAGACCTTCTTTAAAACGTCAACATTCACCATCATTAGCTTGGTGCTAACGTAACAGTCAAATCCCTGTTATCAGGCTAGTGTAAATTAGCATTATCTTAGCAAATGACTGTATATGGTGTTTCTGTATAAACAAATTTAAACATGTGTATGGTCTCTCTATACTGCAGTCTGCGGCAGCCTTTGTGGAACGTTCTACCACACAAAGGCCAGATCCCCTACCCTACCCCGCCTACTAAGACTTCCAATGAAAGCAGTGGTTATTAGTATACAGAATCACACCCAGAACATGAACTGTTCTTCACAGAGGAGTAAATGAAAAAGTAAAATACATAATACAAATACTAATTTAAGGTGTTAAAAGTTTTTTTTTTGTTTTTAATGCTCTTTAAATTTGTCTAACAAGTTGTCAAACAGCAGAGGGAGCAATATTACATTGGAAAAAAGTACAGCTTCTTTAAACAATAATCAAGTAATCAAGCTTAATCGAGTGATTATGACAGCGCCACACAGGTGTCTCTGACTTTATGACACCTGTCCACATCCGCTTGTCATGACATTAACTCTTTTACTGTTAATGGTTTAACTCACCCGAATCTTTTGAATGATCTCTGCTACTTTCACTACGGGATCCTGAGCGATGGAGAGTTTGCTTTGAGCGTTCATCTTGGTGTTCATCCAGCTCATGGCCTCATTCACACTCTTCTCCACAGTGATCATCTCCTCAGCGTTCAAATGCTGGTAGTTCTCATCCTGAAGTTCAAAACATATTTTTTTGTCAAACTTGATCATTCACAATTTCACCTTTTCCCACCACTTCAAGCAGCTCCACATTCATAATCGATATGCATCACTGGGTGTTTTTTGGATGTAGAATGTGACATTTTGAGTTCAGAGCATTCCTCTATCTCTTCTGTGCTTCTGCAAGTACCACACAGTTCATTGTTGTAATCAAGACAAATACTAAGGCCCTAATTCTCATTAAATATTTAAAAAAAACTCATAATGGATGCACATGAAGTCATACACCGGCATCAGATTACTACATATTAGCAATGCATATTTATTCATATATATAAAAAATGCAAAGGGAGTACGAAAGCAAAAATGCTTAATTATTCTTATACTATGATAGGACACTGACCCAATAAGGCAAGCACACTGTGCTATGGGGAAACTAAACAAGACCCAATGAGCAGGCCATCGACGATGAAAATAATCAAGATTGTGAAAGTAATTAGGCCAGTCCCAGCAGTGCAGTGATCCTCAGAGAAGCCATTAAAAAGCTTTAACAGGAGGTGGTAAACTTCGCCCAGAGGAGAAATACCATAACAGATATTTAGCAAAATACAGTACACGATATACATTGCATTCTACAGCAGCGGTGTCCAATCTTCTCTGCAGTTAGGCTGCAGGTTTTCATTCTAAACAAGCGGGAGCTCACCTGATTCCACTTATTTGCTCAGTTAGTCTCATTCAAAGAACTGATCATGTGTGCTCCTGCTTGGATTCGTTAAATTCACCAGCAGCACCTGATTTAATTTAATAAAAGACTGATTAGCTGAACTACGTATTGGCTTCCTCAAGGAGAGGTTTGGAAATGATTAAGCTAACACACTCACATATAAAATCACAATGTATTGTTTAGTTTTTTACGTGTATTTATATGTATGGTAGTGTTTTTTTTAACAAAATAAATGCTTAGTGCCCAGATT